TCCAATACAGATTTGTATACCATAAAATAAAATGGATATAATAACAATTTATCATCAGCTATCAATGTTAGTTATTTATACTTTGTAAGGACTGTTGTAACCGTAGATAAATATAAAATGTGGGTACATTATTATTTAGTACCTATATTAGTTCGACTAAAAGTACACTACTTATTGTACCTATATACCTAAAAGGCTAAAAATAACTGTAGGTAACTAAATAGTCAATAGTGTTTCTCCGTTCAAAATCGTTCTTATTCATATGTACCTAATGAATGATGATTGATAATTAAATTCAAATTAAACACATCAATTACAGTGATTTACTCAACGACAAGGACACTCGACAACTACTATACAGCTGAGTATAGTGAGTAGTTTTACTGCGCATATAGTCAGATCGCTTCCTGCGTTGTTCTAGTGCACTGAGCTGTAAAGTTAATTATATTTATATATATAATAGGTAGGTATAGTAGGTATACCACGCGTACAATATTAAAATCTATGACTTCAAATTGAAATTCGTATTTCGATGTATAATATGAATAATAATATGTTATTATAAAATGTAATAACTAATAGGCAATAAACCAATAACTATAAGCCGAGTGATTCACCGAAGATGCTAGCCCCATTTTTTCTTTAATATAATAAATTTATTCAAATTCTGATATTTAACGTTTTTTAATAAACTTATAAACCATATTTTAAAATGTTTGGGTTTTTTTGTTCTACTTAAGGAGTGTTCTGTGTTGATATACATTTATATTTTCAAATGAGGACCCCCTGTTAACTGTAAATTATTTAGAGGATAATTTTTCTGAACATTTTAACGCATACCAAAATCAAAACTTCAATGAGTTTTTATCGTTTTTGAGTTATTTAACTTTCTGTATCTCCTAAGGAATAATAATTGTCCACGATAATGGGGGTAATAATGGATATTCAATTTTTAGTTATTTTTATTAATCCCGCATAAGTATTTATAATTTATAAAACCGGTCTAATAATATCACAAATTAACTAAATCCTGTGTATTTTAAACTTCTAATTGTAAAACCATGTTTTATGATAATCATCCATAAACATGTCAATTACCGAAAAATTACTTAATAGAATTTTGAATTTGTTGAATACAACATTTTTAGAAAATGTATCCACTAGATAGATTACAATACCTAAGTAAGGGTGGCTCTCTTTATAAAAACAGAAATTTATATCACCACAGCCAGGACACTACTTAAATAGGTATATATAGTACCAAAAATCCAAAAAATCAGAATGTGTATATAAGTAATATAAAGTAACTATAGTAATATTATAAATGTTTAATTTACTTTTGATTAATTCAAATTTATCCAGATAATTTAAATAGTTAAAATACACACGATTTCAGCAAATTATATTATATATCTTTATTTACTAATCAGTATTCAACATGAGAAGTAACTAGTAAGTACGGCCTACTATACTTATAATAAGTGACTTACAAAATATCAAAACATCGTTAAAAATAAGACTTGGTACTTGGTAGTATTTATAGTAGGTAAGTTGTAAGACTTACAACTAAACTTTACTTTGTTGGCTTAAACAAATATATTATAAATTAATTTAAAAAAATAGTTATATAAATATGTTTATAATAAATATATATTTGTCAGTAAAATGTATTCTGCTATGGCTGCTGGCTGCAAAGTTTTTGAGATACTTTATCTGGAACAATTAGTACTGAATAATTAGGAATCACATTTTGAACTTATAATTTACCACTAACATACAGTCATACAGAGACAGTAGAGATATATACAAATAGAATTTGTGTGTACAAAATAACATATGTTATGTATACTTATAAGCAGAGGTGTTTACTGATACCTATATACCTAATTCATATAATTGTTAATTATTATTATTATTATTGGTATAGGAGTAAATTGTTATGCTTGCCCCCCCAAAAATGTACTTGTCCAATTGGCTTTTCTACCCCACAAAGTAACACATTTTTGTGCCATTGATTATTCTCGGGCCCCACTGCCAATCTATGTGAAAACATCAACATCTGGGTACCTACTCCGCATTCAAAAACACTATAATATAACTTACCGATATACTATAATATTAATTTCTCGTCTAAGTCAGATTATCCTCCCTCGTGGAAGTCTAAATTATAATGTTATCTTAGTTTACTTGGTCACAGGCCACAGCAAATGCTCATTGCTTCCATAATCCTCATACTCTTGCCACTATCGTTAAGGCCCTTTAGGGTACCTAATGACTAATTATCAGGAGCCTACATAGTGGAATAAGGTCACTGCTCTGTTGACCTTGTTACAAAAGTTTAAAAAAACGATCAACCACCTTCAAAACTACAAAACTACCTGTTTACTCAATAACAGTTATAATCCCGTTTTTAAATGTAAAACACACGACACCTCTTCAACACTACCGGTCACCAATCTAAACCTTCAAGCTTCTGCAGAATGCCCCTCCATTGCTAGTGGTGGCTTCAGAGACATGGTTAGGGGGGCGGGGCTAAGTCATCATTTTCAGAAAACTTTCGATACTATAATAGGTTTTTTTTTATATTTTGTTCTGAACTGTATAAAATATTTAGAAATTCGGGCTTGGGAGAGGGCCACGGCCCCTAGGGTCCCCCCTGGAGCCGCCCCTGTCCATAGCTGACTTCGCAATAATATCTTGCTACCTTATTGTTAAGGAACAATTAATCTAGAAATTGTTGTTCAAATTTGTTTCAGAACTTACCTATACATATACTTCACAAAATATGCATTGGGCCAATCAATTCTACCATAAACGATATAGATCTAGATATTACATCGTAATACAATATTTAAAATATTCCTAGCAAATGAGAGACATTCCTACAAACTGATAAAAGTCGATAAAATAGCATTATTTACTGATAAATATACTAAGAAATTGAATTTGAACCGGTGGCGTAACTAAAACTTTGATTGCTCGTGGCAAAAAAATCCAGCGGGCCCTTACAAATTTGTAATATGAAGAGCATGCACTTACTCACACAATTTATACCTAGACCCACCCCTGCTATAAAAGGTAATAAATAATTAAAAGCATATTTATTATACTATTATGAATAATATGGTCATTTTTTATTACACATTATAATAAGAATCTTATTTTTTTAAATATTATAAATAACCACTTATTTTAGGCAGTTTTGATACTTTTTCTTGTTCTTCCATTTTTTTACGCTTTTCATAGCCGCTAGGTACTTTTTTCGACATGATCACAATATTAATTATTTGGTTCAACGAGTGACGACGACTCACAACTGATGACAGAATAACTAATGACAAAATAATATCGAAAAACGACGGTTATTTCAATTTTCAGCTGGGCAGTATAATAGACTGTATAGTGTATGATATGATAAATGATAATTGATAACGAATCGAGAAATCAACAGACTTCTGAGACTTCAATACGGTATCCTAGACTTCTAAGCGTGTTGCGTGTATCAGTTATTTTTCTAGTTATTACATTTATTTTACTTTAAAGTGATTTAATTTTACTAGAACTTATTAATAACTAAAATTCTATAATAATGGTAATCTGTTTTATTTAAATTGCCGCATTTTTAAGAGGGCCCTCCCCGGCGTTCTGGGGCCCTGGGCCCGTGGCACTTGCCCGTCATGCCACCCAATTGGTACGCCACTGATTTGAACTAATTTGACTATAAAATAATGACCTTTTTTCTGAAATTCAATAAAATTTAAAAAAATTAAATCTACCTATTTATTTTTGATATTTAAAAAACGCATTACTCCCATGTAAATTACATATTATCAATATAATTACTCCCTTGGCAGCTACTAGCTACAGTGATGACATAGGGCATAGTCGCATAGACAATAACTATAATGATCAATTACATGGGAATAAATCCTCACTAGTCACTATATACATTATACCTACATTTGCAATATACGATTTCGTGGGTATTTAGCCTCCACTCCCTTTACCTGATTTTTATTAATGACATTCATTTTGAAAATCGTGCCTATGTATCTTTAATTATTTTAAATTATCTACTATGATAACAACTTATGAGGAACCTTGACACCTTGTATTAAAATGTATTTCAAGCTTTTTGACCATTGACTCACATTGACACAATCAAAAGTTGTATCGACATTTACAGATAAGAAAATTAAAAAGTATTTGTAATCATAAATTATAAGAACTTGAAAATTTCAATTTTTACCTCTCAAAAGTAACTTCCTTCAACCTAACGAAATAGACAACAATAATTATGGATATAATATTCACTTTTAGGGGCTAAGCCCCCTTTAGATACGCTTACACAGCATCTATAGGCATCTAGCATTCTAGCCCATTCAACAATTTACAATTTATTAAAATACACTTTGGTACCTAGTTAAGTCTTTTTTGTTCTAAATTCTAATATACAGAAATATGAAATTTATCGGGAATCTATAAGTAGATTGGTCTTACACTCTTGCCTATATAAACCAAGCGGTAAGGGACAAGGCCCCAAGGGTTTTATTTTGATTCTTAGTCTACCTAATCCCGGGCTTTAAATGTCCTCAGTAAAATGTTATTTCAAATTATTATTATTCCTATAGTTGATTCATGACTGTTATAAGTTCTAACCAATATTTATTCCAATTTTGAAATAGGTACCTAACACAATATTTTGTTTCAATTATGCATAAAGCGTAATACAAATCCATTGATACAAATGAACTTTGGAATAACTAGGTACCTATATAGTATTTTGTGGAACGAAAGCAATGGGCAGTGCCACGGACTAAGATATACCTATATATATATACATATATCTTAGTCCGTGGCCATGGCAGTGATCATTGATAAATGCATAGATAAGTATAATATAATAAATGATAAATGATAATGTGATAAACAACGGCGCATTAATTTTTTTTATAAATATTGCACACTGCACCATAGATAAGGAAAGTTGTCTTTATCAGTTTCAGTTATCTATGCACTACAAGTACGGGACTACGGGACTACGGGAGTACGCCCGCTACCCACCGATCTCTTCTGAGTTCTGACCACTACCGGAATTCCGAATCCGTCTATTGTTCACTTGTTCGACGTCAGTCTATCACTTTAATAGTACGTCGGCCGTAAGCGTCTTTTTCAGATCCCACTCGTTTAATTTTCAGTGAAAAAATATCATCAAACAGTCGTTACTTGTCAATTGCCAACTATTGTTTTTTTGATATATTTTGACTTTCAAGTATAATATTTTATCTCGTAGCAATGGGAGGACCAAAGGAAGGCGTTCAAAAACAGATACAACAAGACTGGGCAAATCGCGAATACATTGAAGTGATCACGGGCAGCATAAAAAAAATTACAGACTTTCTCAATTCGTTTGGTAAGCATATACCATTATTCAAATCATAGCCGTACTACAAACTGTTTTAACCATAAACCATAGGCTTATTAATATATTTATAGGCCATAATTGTTTGAGTGATATTAACATACCACTTTTCATCCGATACCATACCTCGAGTAAGCTCTAAAATATTTTGTAGTTGTTACCATGGACACATCCATCTATAACATATTGTTTGATCAATCTGCATTTAAGTTTTTTATTCTGACCTGTTAGTCTTCTTTTATTTTTAACTAAAACCTTTTTTTCAAAATTGTAGTTTTTTATTATTATAATGAAAATAACATATTGTACAGATGTCGACAGATCAGTTGTGTTAAGTAATTTTGAGAAACGAGGCTGGGTTCATGTTGGCCCTGATGATGATTGGAATTTTTATTGGGCTGGTATACAAACATGTCGTAGTCTATTTAGTATTGATAGTGGCTATAGAATGCATGACAACCAAATGATCAATCATTTTCCTAATCATTATGAACTCAGTCGTAAAGATATGTTGGTTAAAAATATTAAACGTTACAGACGTGAGCTGGAAAGAGAAGGAAGTCCATTAGCCAAACGTTTGGATGGAAAATACTTGTATTTAGATTTTATTCCAGTTACATTTGTGTTACCAGCAGACTATAATTTGTTTGTAGAAGAGTACCGTAAGGTTGGCCCAAGTACATGGATTATGAAACCAGTCGGAAAATCTCAAGGAACTGGAATATTCCTTATTAATAAATTATCGAAATTGAAGAAATGGTCTAGAGAAGGCAAAAATAATAATTTCAATACATCTACCATAAAGGAATCATATGTTATATCTAAATATATTGATAATCCATTACTCATTGATGGTAAAAAGTTTGATCTTCGTTTATACGTTTTAGTCACATCTTTTCGTCCATTAAAAGCATACTTGTTTAAGTCAGGCTTTTGTCGATTTTGTACAGTCAAATATAACACTAGTGTTGGAGATATAGAAAACTTATTAATCCATTTGACTAATGTCTCATTACAAAAACAAGGTGATGAATACAACAGTATACATGGCGGTAAATTAAGCATTCAAAATTTAAGATTATTTTTGGAAAGCACAAGAGGGAAAACGGTAACTGAAGCACTTTTTGATAATATTGTTTGGTTGATTGTTCATTCTTTAAAATCAGTGAGTTATATAATGGCTAATGATAGACATTGTTTTGAATGTTATGGGTATGATATTATAATTGATGATAATTTAAAACCCTGGCTAATTGAAGTAAATGCATCTCCTTCACTAACATCTACTACAGCTAATGATCGTATTTTGAAGTATAAATTGATCGACAATATGTTAAGTGTGGTTTTACCGCCCAGTGGAATTCCTGATGTACGTTGGAATAAATGTCCATCTCGCGAGGCAATGGGAAATTTTGAACTATTAATTGATGAAGAGTTAGCAGCAAAAGATAAACCTGGACCATCAACAAAAATTGATCTAAAGGATAGATTAAAGCGAAAGACCTAGACTTAAAAAATTAATTAGTATTAGACAAAAAAGTGTAACAAATTTCCGCATTAAACATTTTATTTGTAAACATAACAATTTTATTCAATATATTAAATATTAATTAGGATCTGATAAGTTTGATACTACTTAAGGTACCAAATTTGTAATTTTGTCTGTAAATTAGTTATACATAAAATTATACTTATTTTCCACTTCATATTAATTTATAAATCCTTATTGTATTCCTTGTTATATATGTATTGATTTTTTTTTATAGATATGTCATGTCGATCCAGATTAGCTATTTTAAATGAAAAATTAACTACACTAGAAAGAAGAATTGAATACTTGGAAGCACGGGTAATAATTTATTGTATTTGGTAATGTACCTTTAAGTTATTAAAAAATTATTTTATTTTTTAGGTTACTAAAGGAGAAACTCTTTCATGAAACATTGCCATCAAATAAATTGGAAATACTTGTGTACTATATTTAAATTTTCCAAAGTAATGTAATTAAACTAGTCTAAGTAATTTATATTTTTTTAAACATGTCAAATTTATTTTATACATATTATATGATTTAAGATATTAAACTTTCAATATTAATTTGACATAATGTTTGGATTTGGTAGTTTTTTTACTAATTTGTTTTAGTAAACCTTTGATAAGTTAATTTTATTTACTATAACTCATTCATGGGGTGAATTTATTTTAAATAATTGAAATAATAGATTTTCAAACCATCTAAAGCAATGACAAGCATTTACCTCATTTGTATTTCACGGTCGAATGGAAAGATGTCGATTCACAGATTGCACCACATATTTCATTTCATGATTTAAATATGAATAAAGGGTGATTTTTTATTCATGGTCGTCTAATTTTTATGTTTAAACTAGCTGTATAACTCAACTTTGCCTGGGGAAAAACGAACAAATAAAATTTGATATATCTCAGTTTTAGTGTACCTCAGTTCTGATATAGCTTTTGGTATGTTTTTGAACATGGTTTATCAACCCTCTAAACTTTCCTGATATCGAAATTAGTCTGGTAGTTTTTGAGTCTACACTTTATAGTCTATAGGCAACAAACATAAAAGAATCATTTTATGAGTAAATTTTTATTTTTATAGCGAAGGCCATAAACACGACAATTTGATGCATAATTTTATTTCATCTGCCCAGGCATCCAATAGCGACTGTTTAAATACAACAAAAAAAAAATATACAAATTATTCCATTACTTTTATAATCTGTCACCAATGGCAATAATTTCTTTTTCTATTTTTATTGTCCAATGTGAATTTCCAAATCCTTGTGTGATTACCACTTTAAAATGCAAATTTTGGAAAATCCTTATGCAGAAAGGATTCCTTTGTATAAAATCTAGGTGTTATTTTTAAGCATATTCTTAAGAATACTCGTTTTACATTTGTATGGTGTTCATTGCCTGAATATAAATCCATTTAAATGCTTCACAAACTAAACACTGATAGATATAAAGATGGTTGTAAAATTTGATTTAAACACCTTGAACAAAATACCTTGTATTTAGTGAATAACATTAAACAATTTTAAGACATTTAATAATAATTTGAAATATGTAGCATAGATATAATATATATTATAGTTTAGGTTAAAGAAGAATTATTATTCTATAAATAAAACTTAATATATCATAACAAAATATGTTATAGACATTATGACAATAGGATAAAATAACAAATGATAATTAATAACAGGAATAATAAATTATTGAATTTTTTAGACAATTTATTGGTACCTTATGTTAGAATTAAATTTGAGAATAAATTATAATATTATTTACAACAAACATTTGTATCGCATTACTCAATGAATTTATTGTGTATATTTTCATAAATAATAATGTAGTACCTACTTTCTATCTACATTGATTCTTTTATTGATATTATTAAATTCAGTTTTTCATTCTTGTTAATTGAACAGTAAATATGAATGAAAAAGTTAAGCTCTTGTAATTTATTTTATTTTGATTATTATTATTTATGGGTATTAAAATACAAGAAAAATAATTAGTTACATCTATATAATTATTACTAATTGGTAACAAACAAAAAATTTAATTGTTTTTAATTAAATTTAAGCAAATGAAACTACAATCAAATTTGTTCAAATGCATTGATATTTACAGAAAAGATAAAAAAAAACATTCTAATTCACTAATTGATTAAATTATGGAATATTAGGATTATTATAAAACCTAAAATGTGGCATTGCTCTTTAAAAATAACATAAATTATCAATTTTAAGATATAAAAATACATTCAATTGAGTAAAAATGAATATGTATGTTAAGGTCTAATTACAAGTTTAAATAATATATATATTACCAGTAATATGTAGAAACATTTAAATAGTTTAATACTATTGAGTATTGACACATCATACACACAACACTATTTATTCCTTCATAGTTATTTTTTGTCTTATAAATAAAAAAGTATATAAATTATAAATATGATTATAGATTTAGCATTGTATATTTATAAGATTAAAAATGTATTTGTATTAAAATCAATAAAATTAAAATTTCAAAAATATAGAACATTAAGTTTTTAAAGGTGATTTAAAATATTGTTGTGGTATAATAATTATAAAATTTAATTTCACTTATCCACAAAATTCAACCATTTTTAAGAATTTGGGTAAATAAAAACTGGAAAACTCCACTGGTTAATGCAAATTAATTACTACATAATACATAAACTATTGTCACATCATTATATTATTTAGTTTATATATATCATTTAGTAATTAACACCCAAATAAATGTATCACCATTTGTAAATGAGTTGTTTCATTGCTGGAATGGGTTAGGTAAAATAAAGCGATCAAAATCTAGTTCGTGGTACTGGATACCTCAAAATAAGAGCACTTTCAGCTGACATAATAGGCAACTTATTTTCACTATGATAGTTTACCAAATGACTGACACTTTCAAACATACGGTCTTTAGTTCTTACTGCGCCTTCTGGATCAATTAAAAGTAAATGTTTCTTTACATCCCCTTGAAGACCTGTTAATACATATTGTCCTGGAGATCCTTGTGATTCTCGTACTAGGAAGTCACCATCCTATTTAAAAAAGTACATTTTATAAGTTTTTACTATAAATATTTGTCATGCATCTATCTGCAATCATTCAAATGTCATCTTAATAAATTATTTACAACCATAATTTTTTTAAATATTTAATTTTAATTTTAGTGTTAAACTATATAAATTTAAAATAATTTTTTTAAGGTTTATTTTCATTTCACTTATCTCAGCATTCAATAAATACATGAAATTAATTATGAATTAATTATTATAATATAATATAAGAGCAAACGAAAATTTTTTCCAGTCACAAAATTGAATTGTTCACATAATATTTAGACATAATATCAAATACTTATAAGTTATAATATATTTTGAGCGCACACTAATCAGATAAACAAAATGTTTTGAATGAATTGCGTTCTAGACACAATTTGTATTATTTTTCACCTACCTTTCTATTTTTAAAGTAGTTCCTAAAGTGATATTTTCAATAAAATTACAAACAAATTTAAACATCATGCATTACATTTATGTTTTATTTTATTATTTATAATTATATTAAAATAATAATTAAAACATAATATCATATAAATCCAAATTTAGAACCATTAATGACATTTAATGTTTCACTTTTTATGCTTAGCTTTGTTGAAAATATAAGGTCACTTTTCATAATTAAATATTAAATTATAATTTTTGAAATTGCAATGTCAATAAATGACCAGATCAAGCCGAAAGAATGTACTAAATTTTAGAAAATTCTGGTTTTCACTAATTTGCCTAAAAATTAGATTGGGTGTAATCTGTAATATTTAACATACCTACTAACTACTAAAAACTTATTGTACATATTATGTTAAATATTTAATTTAATGTAGGTTGTCATATTATATTTTACTTAAACCAGGACAAGCATGTTTTGCATAATTTTTATGAAAAAATTGTACGACTCCTCCCAGATCGACCAGTTATAACACATTATTTTGTAGTAACTACAATATCCCTCACAATGGTCAGAAGTTCAGTATTTTATGATATACTTTTGTAACTCAAGGTTACAAATTGAAATGGGTAACAAAAATTGATAAGAGAGAGCAGGGAAGCAATTCATACAAAAAGGTATGTTCGCCTGTCTTGGTATGCAAAGTGCGTGCACCATTAATTCTGGCTAATATTTAATTAGCTGGGGTAAATTGTTCATTTATATTTATAAACCAACATGATGTCTAATTTGATACTAGTTTTTATTTTTGAAATATTTTGTGATATGAGAAATAAGAATCAAAAAGTCATCATTATAATTTTATTTAAATATATATTATTTTGTGTACTTTCAGTGAATGTAAAGGCATAAATCTGACAAATTAAGAGTTTATTAAACAAGAATATGCAAAATAAAAAAAATAAAAACTCAAAAAGTTAAAAGAACAATTAAGCTATAGCTAATAGATTAAGATGCGATTAAGTTTTTAATGATATATCATAGCCATTTTTTATCTTTATTAATTGTTTAAATTTTATGAGTATAATATTATATTTTTAGGACAATATTTGACTGGTTTTCCTTCTTTTAAAAATAATTTTGTTATAGATCAAATATGATTACATATGATACAAATTTGATGTAATAAAATATGTTTATTTATGAAAAAATGTGCAACATGGCACAGGCATGAAAAATGGTCAACTTCAAATAAATATGGTAAGATTATTATACAAAAAATTGTGTTGGCTATGATGAAGCACATTAAAAGTAGTTGTATTCTTGACCATATTATATATTCTACTTACGTGTTTTAATAATGCCTCAGCATGCTGTCTTGTAATACTACCATGAAACCAAAGTTCATCTTGTAATTTTGGTGTCATTACTGGTAGAGGTTCATGATCCACAAAAGGTTCTAAAATGTTTTATTCAAACATATAAAAAATTAATGGTACATTAATTATCTTACATGTTTATTTTAAAAACTATCATGATAACATCATAACATACGCATGTCAAATACATCACGGGGTTGTGAATTGTGGTTTTTATTTCCAACTACAAAATCATTAACATAGTTATGTGCAGGATGTGGTACAGGTGGTGGAGGAGCTTCACAATTCAAATCAATTAAATTATTTGAAACTAGTCTTTCTAAAATTATAATTTATTCAGTGTTATTAATTATTAAAAGAAAATAATTAAAATAATTAATGTATTTAATTAACCTCTATTACGATGATCATGATACGAAGGAAGGGGTGGTACAGGTGGTGGACCAGTTTCTGGGGGAGACTTTCCAGGTAGATCATTATAATATTCTCGCTCATCTCTTGTGCTTGAGCTTAAGACAGGTGCAGGTTTTGTTAAAAATTGTTTAAAACGTAAATCAAAGGCTTGGCCAATAGTTGTAATAACATCTTGTGCTAATTCGCCTTCTCCACATTCTAGGACATAACATGCACGCCAGTCTTTTATGTCTTTCGCTACAAATGCAACAAAGTCTATTGTGTCCTAAAATAAACCATATAAAAGTATAAATATTTAATAAATATAAGATCATTTAGAATTTAATTATTCTTACAGCATCACCCCCTGATGCAAAAGATATTCTAGGCATATCATGTGTGGAAATGACTGCATGCGAATCCCTAAGTTTTAATGTCAAACATGTGCTAGATATGGATAAGGTAACATTTGATCCTGCATGATCCATAATTGAATGATCACCGATAAGTCTTAAAATTTTTTTGTCCACCTGTTAGATACAATATTTTTGACATTTTATGATTATGTTTATACACTATAAAAAAAATGTTATTTAGTTTACTTTTCGTTTTTTGTCAGCAGTTTTAAGTCCAGCCGCTTCACAAACTTTATTTATACATTCCCTAAGGAAAAATATTTTTCAAAAAAATGTTTTAGAACTTATCAATTATTTTAACTTACTTGGCTACTAAAAATCGTGTATCAAAATCCAAACTTTTCATAGATGTGAGTACTTCCAAACAGCCAATATACTAAAAGTTTGAAAGACAGTATTAACATTTTTTCAATTAATTAACGATTATATAGTTACACCAAAGTATGAAAATGTTAAATAAATAAACTCAATAATTTTTAAAATTTACTCGAACTTCGTAGCAAACACTACTTCTTGTAATAACATTGTCTGGATGTAACCAACCTCTTGCTGGTTTGTTCATGAAACTTCCCCATGAATCTGGCATTTTAACTTATACAAGTAACAACTGTACTTCTGAAATTTTTTATTAATACGATATAGATGTTAGTAGGTAACATATTTTACATAATTTTAACCAATAATAATATGCTTAATTACAATTACTTACAAATGAAATATTTACTCGATAATGCTTGGGTACCAACCGTGTTCCATAATTACTATAAAGACTTCTGCAATTGATGTACTAACTATTTAAAAATGAATGGAAACATTTTTTTCTGAAACAAAGAAAATAATATTCAAAGTACGTAACTTTTCTTACGAAAATGTAAAGTACTATAAGTTACTACCTACAACTACTCAATACAGTTGTCAACATCTGGAACAATATTTAGTAGAAAGGGTAATTTCATTCATAACTGATAACAGTTTTCTTATCATATTGTGCAAAAAGTGATATATCTAAAAAACAGATAGATATACTGAACAGATATCATAAAATATAAATTTAAAATTATAATAATATAAAAGTTAACTCAGCTAATTAAGTTATATTATGAAAGTATAATATATTTAGAACATATTAATTAATTCTTGAACATTATATATTTTTAAGCTCATATGCCATTGTATAATATACATAGTAGTAGGTATTAACGGTATCAACGTATTATTATGTCCATCAAAAATTCAAAAAGAGAACTAACTACTAACTAACCTACTAGGTAATAAGTTTCAGAAGTAACATTCAACAATTTATATCTTGAACCTACTTTATTTTATCAAGAAGTCAATCAAAAATGTTTTCAAGAAAACATCTTTTTGCAGAGGTTTTTACTAAGTCATTAATTTCAGTTAATTCTAATTGTTATTTTAAAACATTAAATCAAGTTAAAAACTATTCGACTTTTCATAAGTGGACATTAGATTATTTCAGAAACGAACCTAATTACAATAAGTTTGTTTTAAAACAATCCATAACTGAAGACAAAAAATTTCTTTGCAACTCTATCAATTTAAATACAACTCCTACTGATGAATTACTTATGAACTATTTTTCATTAAAAAATGTTTCCAATAATGAAATTGATAAAGAACTAGCAAATCGAGTAAATAATATGTCAATCAATCAGATCCTTGCGTTAATGGATGTCTGTTTATCTGGAAAAGCCCAGTTTCACAAAAACTCAAGTTCATTTAAAAAATGTATTGGATTAATGGATGAGTTATGGTTTCGAAGACCTGACTTAACTACTTCACAAACTATACAGTTGATTTATTATGTGAGTATATACAAAAGTAAATCAAAACAAGTGGTCGAGTTTGGATTACAGAAACTAATGAATGAAATTGATTATTTGAAAAAATTAACTGATGAAGAATTAAGTGTTATAGCTGTGGCAACATACAAAACTAGTGCAAAAGTTTATGATAAAATGCTAAGAATATTTGCCTACAGGGTAGAAAGAAACTTGGATAATCTCATACAAAATCCTTTAAATTTTGTTTCTATGATTAAACCTCTGAAAAAAGCAAAGTATCATGACCCTATATTATTAACCCAACTAATAAATGCCTTTAGTAGTAATAAAAATAACAAAGTCTTAGAAGATGTGACTAGTAGCATTCATCTCCTTACATACTTTGCAGATGCAAATTGTGGTGAAGTAGACTTTTTGCAACAATTGATTGATTCTATTGGGAATATTATGGTAAGCTAGACCCATTAATAAGCATTCGTTTTTTTATTTAGGTACTCATGTTAGAATCATTATTTTGTTTTCAGATTACAGATCATTTAAAACATTACCGAATTAAAGATGTTTCTAACTATGTTTTTTCAGCCAGTTACTTAGGTCTAGCTCCAAAGAATCCTGATGTGTGTAAAATGATAATTAATTTCTTAGAGGACATTTTTAACTCTAAAGATAAATGTGAAAAAATGTCCAAAACATTAATAGGAATGTGCTTATCAATGTGGATGTTGAATTATAAACCAATACAATTGATGCAGTTTATGTTTTCTGAAGTACCTGTTGCAGCTTTAAGAAGTAAAATTTGATTCTATAGTACCTGTATTAAATAAATTAATGTTGTTCATTAATTATTTTTATTTTATTTTATAAAGTGCCCAATGCTCACAAACAAGATAACAGACTCAATCTTTTGTTAACATGTGCTCATATTGAACAGCCCGATTTAATAATAGGGCATCAATTAATTAAAGAAACCACTTACTCCATGCCTGATCCTTCCAAACATTTAGCGGAACGTCCATTCTTGGTATTGGTGTATCAATCCCTGCAGAAATCATCTCATAAATTGGATATAATGAATGTAGAATATATTTTCAGTATACCTTACTTGAGAATACTAGGAATTAAAATTATAAGAATGAATGGGTAAGTAAATGTTTTATAATGACTTCTTAGTTTGATTTATTATAGTGATTGTAATTATTGTAAGCACTATAATTTATAATCTATGTATAATCTACTTCCTTTATAAATATTAACTTGAAATGTCTTTAACATCAGCACAAACAGAAAAATTGTTAAATTCATTTGTTTTTTAACACCTAATATGTATATTGCTTCTATAATTGTGCTTATGTGTCACATTACAATATTTTCAAAGTCAATACCTATAAACACTACACACCATAAATTAAATACTAAAAAATAGACAAAAATTTAAAACTGACACTACTAAACAATTTATATATATAATAAAAATAATAGATATTATATTTTTACTTTTCAGTGAAATCATTTATGTAGAAGTTTTGGATAATAGTAATTGTCTTTATGATACATTAATTCCAAATGGTATGATGAAACTCAAATTTCGTCTTCAGTCAAAGTTAAATTTTGTTGTTATTAAAGTAAGAAAAGTAGTTTTAGTTTAATTAATTAAAATAATAAAATCATGTAATACCTTTTAATAATTTGTTAATTGTTTCATCTAGGTGAACCATAAAGAAAATACATTGCAAAATCCAATAAAATTGAAACACCACTTGGAGTCATTACTATCCAACAAATAAAAAACTTTTTAAATATTGATAGTAAGATTAGTTGCTTTTCTAAATTGGTTATTGTCACATACATTCATAAATAAATTATTATTAATCAGGTAATAAGTAATTATAAATAAAAAATGAATTATTATTAATCATCAGCTAATAAGTAATTATAAATGAACAATTACCTTATGTAAATTCTGCTATAATTTCTGAGTATTTATTAACTAATTTCTGTTGTGAATATTATTTTAAAAAATAAACTTTTTCCATATATTAAATACTTGATTTTCATTTGATTTAAAAGACTAACTTAAAACAGTTGAAACTTCAAACTTTAAATGTTATTATAACACCTAGTAATCTATATTTATCATAATATTATATTTATATTTTATACTTATCCTAGTATAAATATTAAAACTCCGTAATCTTTTGCCTCACCATCAATTAAATATCATAAAATGTCCAAAAACAAACTAAACATATTCTATTTATTTGAAATACATAAACCATTTTAAAATATATATTTCTATGTTCTATCTTCTATGAAATTCTATAATCATAAAGCCCATAGCTTATAGTACTATATGTCTATATCATGAAATAACAACAAGGTATGATTGGAACTTTATGACATTCTGATCATTCAATGAGTATGTGACAGAGCTTAGCGTATAGTAATAATAATTCAAAGTATGATAATATTGGTAGGCAAGTGACATGTTGCATGGGGTAAATGGACATTTCCCTCCTACTGTTTTTGTTGTAGTTGGATTTGTATATGCTGACCTTTCCCTCTTATGCTTATTTTGAAAAGTTTATTATTTAATAACAATATATTATATACGCTCAAAATTGGCCTGATAAGTATAGGTACACTCCAATTACTTCCTCTAAAATCTCGATTACTTATTATTTTTTTTATTCTTTCAACAACAATTTTTACTGTTTCAAGTAGACAATGATCAAAAATATTCGTCTATAATTTAATATATTAATGAAAATATTTGAAAATTTATTCTGTATATAGACAAAATTAGACAATAGGAAAAAAAAATTTTATATTAAATAATAAATAATATAACATCATCAAAAATTGAACTTTTTTGAAAGATGGGTAGAAAGTGTCCATATTAAAAAATGAATAAGTCGGTAGTCTTGCTATGTCGAACTAGCAGGGGAAAAAGTTCGAGATTCATTGCTCGGACTTGAACCAAATCTAGACTTTACTTTACTTTTGTGACCATCTCTTGTTGCTTATATTATGCTAGATAGTATTTGCTATAGGGAATTCGTAACTCGTAGGACCTAAGGTTTTTATAATTTGGTCTTCCGTTGAGTGATGACCGTTGTAACCATGGCTAAATATACTTATATACTAAATATATTTAGCCATGGTAGAGACTAGAGATCATGTTCTCCACATCGTTCTCGCATGATAAAAGAACATTTTGTCATGCGTTCTCGGTGGCCACTAGCCGGTGTTCTAATTGCTCTTAAATCGTGATAGTAACTTATAAAATATATATACATCAGGTAACTAGATAACCGTGATTGTATTATTCATTGTAAAACTGATAAGAATAAAGAAACAAATTCAAACATTCCTATTGGTTGTATATACGATTTAAGATGGCAGAGGCTGTATAGTATATACCATATAGTTAACATATGACTTATTCAATATTCATTATTGACCGTTACGACTTATGAATTACGATAGTGGTAGTTAGTACGATTCACATTTTCATTTTTTTCATTTCTTTCCTTCTTGCAGTTTGTAGTTTTGTACCACAACTCAAAAGTGATTTCTTACTGCGACACAATAATTTACATTAGCTGGGTACTTCTACACATTATTGAAGTAGGTTATTATTAAAAAAACTCCAGTAGTAATAATTTATTAAGTTAGCATTTATCATGTATATAAGTAACATTAATTTGTCAAACTTACATTTAATTTTTCTTAGGTAATATGTCACAGAAGCTTTTAAATAGTTTTAACGTACTTAAAGAGTATGAAAATATTCATGCTAAATGGTGTGCTGAATTAATAGCAAATGGACGACAAACACTACAATCAATATCTAATATTATTGATAATGATATGCTAATAAATTTGATGGACAGTTTTATGGGATTTGTTTCATTACTTGCTCAATGCAATACTAATGCATTATCTGATGAAAAAATTACATATAAACCAAGTGATGTATGTTTATAATTAATAAATGAATATTGGACTGTTTTGTTTTATCTATATCATACATTTTTCAGCCAACTTCAAAACAACACAATGAAAGCCAAGATTTATTACTAAAGAATGATATTATTAAGGTGATGAATAGTGATCTCCAATGTCCAATTTGTAACGAATGGCTATTTAAAGTAATTTTGTTTTATTTTTTATTTTAATTTAAAAACTTAATTTTGTAAAAAAAATTGATACTATAATAACATAGAAGTATTTAGTTTTGGATGTTCATTATCGAATAGCTTACTATTATACAGATTTTTTGAGTACATTAAAGATTAAACACTTATTAGTTATTACCTAATAATAGTTTAATTCAAAAATAAAGAAATATTTTACATGTTAAGCATTGTAACCTAACTTAATATTTGTTTTTTTCTCTCTGAACCAACCTTCAGTTGTTAGCTCTAGTATTAGAAAAAATATTCTTATTCACTATGTAACTTTTGTATTTTACTCTATTAATAATATACACAATGTGTACACAATGACAATAAAAGTACGAGCTAATTGACAAGGAATTGCTGACATTTATTCTGTAACTTAAAATTAAAAACATAATTTGTGGTCTTAAGTTGGTTTTTGTTACCATATTTCAATTTGTATATGAGTTGGGAGCTTATAAAATGTTTGCAATATAAAAACGCTCATACCTTGCTTGAAAATCGAAATATTGCAAAAAATGCCAATTTAAGAACATATTTATTCTGTTTTTAATGTATGTTATAATAAGTTAATTCACTCTAATATTAAAGCTAACAATATAAGGTTGCTTCTGTTGAATGCAAATTTACAATGTTGTGCAGGGGTCAGACAGAGAAAACAATAGTGTGCTAATGTCTCCTTAACAAACAAATAAAATATAATCAAAACTATTTTAGGCAACTTCTGCAAATTGCAATCATACATTTTGTGAAACATGTATCAAAAAATGGTTAAAAATAAATAAAACATGTCCAGTTTGCCGTACACCTATTCAACATACTACAACTTCTATAGCAGTAGATAATTTCATCACTAACTTGTGTCACTTATTTGGCGGTTTTACCAAGGAACGACGAGAATCAATAATGAATGCTCATATAGGTATACAATTTATATTATTATATATTTGTGTTTATTTGTATAATTATTTTATTATTACCTTGTATTGTATTTCAGATGATAAGGAAAAAACAACCAATGCTGATATTACAGTAGATGAACTAACTATTGATTTAAATGTCAATCAGTCAATTGAATATGATACATTTATTGGCCAAAATGACACTACTTTACCAGTGTTACATCACAATATGGTTCATTTAATACCTTGTCCTCAAACACCTGTGTCTAGAGAAAATTCAAGACAATCAATAGTTAGCCCAAATTTACCTCATCCTAACACAGTTAGATTGTTACCTTTTCCTCAATCATCTGTAGCATCTGTAGCTAGCCCACGTTCTAATCGCCTTCAACCAACATCTTCAGCACATGTGCCCAGCTCACATGTTAATCGTTTCCAATCCACTACTTCAAAATCTGTATTAAGTCCACGTGTTAATCGTTTTCAACCTAATTCTCCAGTATCTGTGGTGAGCCCACGTATTAATCGTATTCAACCAACAACATCAACATCTGTTGACAATTCAAATATTTATCGCCTTAGAACTACTACAAATATTGGTTCATCACCTAGATATCATTCAAACATTGATAATTTACCACACCGCCAGACAAATTCTCCATTACAAACACAAAATGTCATATACTATTAACACATAATAATTCAAAATATTCACAAGCAAGTAGAAATGATCATAAGTAGAAATCAAATTTATTATCTTTTTAAACCATCATTAAATCCATTAAAAAAAAAATGATTAAAAATGGTTGTGGGGATTATAATAAAATATATATATTATTATTAAATGAATACTCTATTTGAGATAAAATGATGATCCTCTTGTCCAACTAAGAATCTTTCCTTTAATTGCTGTCACAGATCTAACTATTGAGTTAAGGGGCAATTCTTAGTCTTCATATTTTTCTTAATCAAGTATAATATATTGAAACATGACTGAATATTTCAGTATGTAACACTTATTATTAAATTAATTTTGGTGAAACAATTATAAAAAAAATATTTTAAATAATTTAATTTGACTCAGTATTTTATATTATTAAAAATTACATTCTATTGTAGAATAACATTTAAAGTAAGTAAAGCATTTAGAATTAGGTTTTTTTAGTCAATACATCAAAATCAAATGTGAAGTTTGGTGATCAAAGCCACAAATTTTGTTCATATGATGAAAAAACATAAACAGCTCTGACCAAATCTGTGTGACTTTGTGCGAAGTGTGAGCTCTATAATCAAAACTTAGTTTATAGGTCTATAATGTGTCAAATGCCAATGGGCGATGGATCTATATAAAATATAATGACTATTGACAAATTAAAATATCGACTATATAATGATTATTGATATTATAGAATTTACATTTCTTGTTAATTATTATTTCAAATTATTTTGAAAAAAAACAATTTTCATTATTAGTATTAATAATACTAATTAAATAACACAAAACAATTATAATATATTAAAATATTAAACATACTTAAGAATTGTATTATATGAATTTAAAATTTAAATAATTAATTTCAATCTTCCAAAAAATTATAAAAATGGTAACTAACAATTTATTTTATAAAGCAAAAAAATAAAATAAAAAAAACATAATTTGAAACAATATTTTAATATTAATATTATCATAAAATAGTGAAAAAATTATAATAAATAAAACATAATATGATAATTTATAGGCTTATAGCAATTCTTTTTACACAAGCTGTACGTCCTAATTGAGTTATACTGAAGCCTGAAGGTACAGCTGTAGCCTGTAACTGAACTCAGCTTTTTAGCAATTCTAAATTCTGTGTCTGTAAAACACATGCTAATGTTATGTAAATTGATTTAATTATATTTGTTAAATCAAATTAATAATTTGATAACTGACATTCTGACCTGTATGTTTTGCATAGTGAATCGATTGTTGTTTTGAATTTTAATTGTCCTTAACAGTGCATTATGTCCTTTTATAAACTTTTGGAAATTCTCACTTACAGCTGCTTACTTACCTTACATGCTGGCCCAGATTCCATGCCTAGATGACTAAGTTGAACGTCAATCGATTTTCACTGGACGTGGCTGACTTGCTAGACACTCAAATACGGCTCTTATATATATACTTTGGGTTTCGACATTTGTAAGAGGACAAGAGTACAAGACAGGACCGTATCGACTATCAATCCCGTTCAATCACAGATTTTTAGATTTTCAAACATTCCCGCCTTCGAAATAACTCCTCCAAAACCCTTATCACAAATCCTTATCATCTTCCCTAACTTTTGAGCACAGAATATTCTGTGTTTTGAGGTTCAACCCACCTACGGACGCGACTTTTATAATTGCAACGATTCAGCCTCTGTGGACTGAAATTCACTTTTAGTCCTCTCGGGGGGTCTCCCCCATCGACGCTCGGAGAGCTAGTACAATAATAAAATATGAATAGGTACCTTGGTGTATGGTCCTAACCACAAACCACGAAACAAGATAGTATTATCTATAGCTGTGGTTCCAATACACCTAACCTAAAATGTAATAAAACATTTAAACATCTAAAATTTTAAATTTATCGATAGTAATTATTACAACTTCGAAGAATAGAAGACGGGCTTAATTATGTGGATGTATTATTAATTGAACCAGTTTTGATTTTTGACGAATTCTATTGATTTTTAAATTCTGACTTGTGAGTTAACCAGTATTTATAATCCAACTAATTTTAGATAAATTATTTTATTTACACTAATTTTTATTACGTTTTATGATGGTGTTAGAACGGTTTTAGATCCCCAGATACTTTATACTGGAATTTTTACTTCTAACTAAAATATAGCTGTCATTACATACTAAGAAATTGAATACCTACCGGTTGATTTAAAACCATTTTAACTTCATGATTTAAATGCAGGAATCATTACTTGCGTCATTAGTTATTATTATGACAGTTGGTTCAATTATAATTTATAACCATAGATGTGTTTTATATTATGCGTTTTTAACAGAACAATATGTATTAGTGTTTTATTGTTACATGATATGACTGTTTTTCATTATTTTATTTTATATCACTAGCTCAAGTATACAAATAATGGATGATTTCGGTGATGATTTATTTGATGATTTTGAAAAACCATCTGCCAGTTCTTTTTCTGCTGGAGTACAGAGATCCAATGATGATAAACACAATTCTGACGACAAGTATGAACATTAAAATTAACCTAGTCATTATTTGTTTTTTAAACCTATTGGATCGAATAATTAACCAGTAAAACCTATATTTGACAGTTAAATCAAAATGAAATTATTAAAAATACTATTTTATTTAATTGGCATATTATTGTGCCTGCTAATAGTATTTTGATTTACAGTGTTTTAAAAATTCTTATTGTTAACATTCTTATTTGTCATTCCACTTTTTTTTTATTTTTATTTTTTTTTAATGCAATATTTACAATCTATACAACAAGTAGTACAATAAGTAAATTTGATAAGGTAGTATAATACATAACTTGAAGACTTGAGGGGGAAAACCGTCCATCAAAAGTACCTCCTAATAATGGTGGGTTCTCAATGGAGACCGTTTTTTTTAATTTTTTTTTATTGTGTAAGGCAAGGGCGTCTCTTGGCCATTTTCTTTTTAACCTTCTAGGAGGGTTGCTGGGGATCATTCCACTTAGAAAAAAAATTACAAATAACTGAACTTGCTACTTAATAAATAATAGAAAAAAAAAATAGAAAGTATCTTGGTGTCTTGGTGTACCTGTTAACTTAACAGTTTGCTTTATGAAATTAATGAAGTTAATTGTTAGTACATTTAGGAATTATACTTGATTATTATGGTGTTATATTCGTTCTGTTGATGTAGGGATGAACAAATTTATTACAATCTAAAATAAATTAATTAACACAGAACAATAAAATAATAATAAAAAAAAAAATTATTAATTCCTAATCCATAAAATGTAAAGTAATACTTGTTATGCCGTTGTTTGCACACATAGAGATTTGCTCTAAAAATACGTACTAGTGAACTTCGGAATGCTATAATATTTGTACTTAAACAAGTGATAATGTTTCTGTTTATTTATAAATATATTGTTAATTGTAATTCTCATATGTGAGCAATGTTTGGTTGAGATTTATAAAGTGACTAGTACTGTCCTTACTCTTTAACAGGTGCACGCCTAGTGTTGTATGTTAAGTTACAGGTTATAACATATTGATGTTTATACACAATTTAAAATGTTTCACAGTTGTGGCTTTCAAGTTATGCATGTTTAAAGGCGTATGTAGTATGAATGAAAAATGGATTGCCAAATTCTATTTTCACTATTTGAATGAAAGATAATAGATATCAAACAAATGTATTATGATTTTAAAAAATGTTGTACTCTTAAGCCTGGTCCGCACCAAGAATAATTTGTAGGCAACATGGCAACATTATGGTTGAACTATCATTGTTAAAATGTGTTTGTATGTTAATAGTAATTATTTTTTTCTGTTTGATTAGCACCATAAAACGATCATTACAACTATCTGATGATGAAGACAATAATTTAAAAAAGACAAAAAATCCAGATGAAATATCTGCTTTAGAGTAAGTTATATTAAAATGTAAAATAATAATAATATTAAGATTAAATAATTATTTATTATGATCAAAACAATTTATTCTAAAAGCAATATATTTAAACATATTTATTTAAATTATTAAAGTATGTTTCATTCCACTATGTATTCTTTTATAATTACTAGAGAGGTTTTTCACTTATACATTTTATTTTACTCCCAAACCTTTTAGATTCTGATTAGAGCGATTAATATGTATTTATATGGTACTTAACTTAACCTTAGGATAGTACTTGTTTCTAAATCTTAAGTATTTATTTATAGGTCTAAATATTAAACTAACCTATCCATTCATTTTTCCAACAGTTGCCATAATTTTTATTTTACCTTTAAATATTATAAGAATTAGTTTCTGCTGTAGAGTAGGAGTTGGGTGCGGTGTCATCATTGTAAAACAATACATACTTTGCTACTCTCAGAAACTTGAATATACATGACAATAGATACTACATAGGTTTTGACTTTATTCTTATTTTGCTCATCTTACTGTTTGAGTGGTATAATATTATTATCAACTTGAATCTTGAAAATTATGATCAATAATCAATACAAAATTTAAAAAAAAAGCTATCCTCTCAAAAACTTAATTTCAAAACCAAAATTATTATTTTAACTTTGGAAATATACATAGGTACGTTATTATTTTTTGATTAATCAATGATAATTACGAGCACAAAATCCTAAAATTAAAAATATTCTGTGAAAACCAAACTATAAGCCTAATATTATAAATATACTTTGTAAATCGAGTAAAACTATGCACTAATATTTTTCAAAATATCATGAAACCTCATCTAAGATAAGAAGGTCCTGATAATTAGAATTGAAATAATTTTATTTGGTATACAAGATAAATGAACAATTTATTTATAACAACATAATGTTCAAATTATCTATTCAAATATTAATGATTTTAAAAATGTTCAATTTACCAAATATGATGTTTTTAACAAAGATTTTGTAGTTTTCCGTTTTGACGGTATGAATTCTAAACATTTCGATACTATTTCTAATAAATCAATCGGCCACTGAGGGAAGTAGTTTTTTAATGCCATATTAACATTTTTAAATGTACTATTTTTGATATACTTGATTGAAACAACATTATAAGTTGTCTTTATTCTCCTATTTAAGTACTTTTGATCTTTAATTGATACCCCAAAATATTTAACAATTGATTGATATTGTTCAATAGATGTCTCTTGTGTTATGATCGGATGGCCACTCATACATTCTATAAATACTATACCTAATTGTTCATAAATATTAATAAGTTTTAGAATTATAATATATAGTTGTAGTTGAATTTTACCTATGGACCAAATATCAATTTCAGGACCATATTTTTGTGTTCCAAGTAACATTTCTGGTGCTTGATACCATATAGTACCCATTTCTGGTGTCATAATTGGTTCTGCCTTAAATGACTGTACACATAGCATTTTTGAAATACCCAAATCACAAATTTTTACTGCACCATTACTCGCTATCAGTATATTTTCTGGTTTAATATCTCTGTGCACAACATAATTTCTGTGCATGTAATCAATACCATTGATTATCTAAAAACTAAATTTTAATTTTGCTATATTTTTTAACAACTAAAATTCTCACTTGTATCATAAATTCTTTTGTTAAATCATATCCCAGGCCATTTGGATGATATTTATTAATGTACTGGCCCATATTATAATCCATGTATGGAAAAACAATGTACAAACAACTTTTTATACGGAAAATATTTAAAAGTCTTATCACATTTATGTGTTTATTAAGTATTTTAAGTACCATAAATTCACGTAATACTTGAGGCATATAGAAATAGGAATCTGTTATTTTTTTTATTGCAACAATTTCATTTGTTAGCCGATCTTTGCATTTCATCACAATACCATATGATCCTTCACCTATTATTTCAATGGGTTTGTACCTATTACTATTTAAATTAACAATTTTACCACTCATAATAACAATTCATAAGAACGCTAAAATTGTTTATTTACGTAAAAATTAATACAGTTATAAACTAAATATACCTATTATTTAAGAATGTTTATTTATTGGTTGCTTGGAATTATTTTATTTGATTAAATTGTTATAGTTATTATTTAATCTTAACTATGATACTATTTATTTTATTTACAATAATTTTGGTATTTTTGACCATATTTTGAGCAGGTATAATGAAGCATGAATAACATGAGTACTTTTATTTTATTTAGTATAATTTCTATGCATATTTTTATTCATAATGGGGCATATGCAGAATAATTCACCAAGCATGGTCACCCCATATTTTCCTTTAATTATGAATTCATTCAAATGATTTTTAGAATTTTTAAATATTCAAAGACCATATTCTCAAATTCTTGAATTTTTTCTACTTAAAGAGTGTTCTGTGGTGATACGAACTTCTGTTTTTCAAATGAAAACCCCCCTCTTTTGCTGTAAACTAATTAGTGGATAATTTTTTTGAAAGTTTTTGATGTACTACATTTAAAATTTGAATGAGTAGTTTCTTAGTTATTAAAATGTTTGTATTGAGGATAATAGTCCTTAAAACTGGTTTTAAATAAATACAAAGTAGACGTTAAATTTGATCCAGTATTTTATTATGCTTAGGGCCATTTTAACAAATTATTTATATTAATACATTTATATAAATTAGTATAATTTTCAAATCACCATAGTCCCCATATCTAAAAAACTCATTACTATTGATCTTTTATCCTTAGAACACAAAGTTAAATAACAGAAACTACTCTTACAAATTTTGATTTTGATGCTTAAAAAATTCAGAAAAATTATTCGTAGGTTGAATAGGGGTGTTCTCGTTTGAAAAAACAAAAGTTATATTTCCACAGGACACTCCTTAAGCAGTACAAAAAATCTCAAGACTGAAAATATGGTCTTTAAGTATATTTAAAAATAAATGATTTAAATAAAGAAAATAGTTAAAACATATGATTTATATAAAATTGTTATCAATATAATTTTAATTGTTTCAGTCTCGAGGTATCAGCTCCCAGAATAAAAATATTTGCGGTAGAATCTCTTGATGGAGAGTCATGTACACACGAAATTGCTCTTCCGTTAAATTTTGATTATATACCATTAAATCGAGATACCAATAGAAAACCAGCCAAAGTCTATGAGTTTGATTTAGATCCTTTTCAGAAAGAAGCTATTGTTTGTATTGAAAATAATCAATCTGTTCTTGTATCAGCTCATACATCTGCTGGAAAAACTGTAGTTGCCGAGTAAGTTTATAGTACTATTTATAGCTAAAATATTTTATACTTCAGTATTTAAGTACCTAATTTATATTTTCATTTTTTATAGATACAGTATAGCTTTGTCTCTAAGAGAATCAAAACGTGTAATCTATACTACACCTATTAAAGCATTAAGTAATCAAAAATATCGAGAATTTCACGAAGAATTTGTTGACGTTGGTCTTATTACTGGTGATGTTACTATTAATCCATCTGCTAGTTGTCTTATCATGACAACTGAGGTAAATAGTTTTTAGTTGATTATTCAAATAGAGCGTTCTACAATGATTAAACATTTTTAAGTATTTGGATTTTCTTTGAGTATATCAATTCTCCCATCACTGGAGACACTATATATTTAGAGAATAAGATATTTTAGTCCTACTTAAATAAAACATTCATATTTTGAATTGTATTATAACTTATTAGTAGTTATTCCAGTCTATTAGTTATTTTACTAATTCATATTCAAATATAAGTATTTTATAAGATGAAAAATGCATCAAATTTGTTTGTACGTAAATGCAATCAAAATTATTTCCTTTAAGTTGGACGCTCTATATGAAATTTTATATTATTGAATGGAGACTTTTTATTTTATAACCTTTTTCAAAGATATTCTAACCTCACAAAAAAAAAAAAAATTCTCTATAATCTATCTGTTTTTAGTTATTACTATAAAAATATAAAAATTATATCAAACTTAAGCAAAAATTATAAATATGTGTAAATATTGGAAATATAGGTTTCAATAAGTTAAAAAGTTAAAGATCACTGTTTTATAAAATACTTAATAATAATATAATATAATATAACATTATATGCATTTTAAATTACTCTTTATTTTACTAGATTCTTCGTTCTATGTTGTATCGTGGTTCAGAGATCTTAAAAGAAGTAGGATGGGTAATATTTGATGAAATTCATTACATGCGTGACAAAGAACGTGGTTATGTTTGGGAAGAGACTTTAATATTATTGCCAGACAATGTGCGTTTGGTTTTTTTGTCTGCTACTATACCTAATGCTAGACAGTTTGCAGAATGGGTAGCCCATTTGCACAATCAACCGTGCCATGTAGTATATACAGAATACAGACCTACACCATTACAACATTACTTATATCCTGCTGGTGGTGATGGCTTACATCTTATAGTAGATGAAAATGTGTGTTTGTTATATCATATTCTTAGTATAAATTTTGATTCCTTAACTTAAATTATTTTAGAACAAATTTCGAGAGGACAATTTTGCAGCAGCTATGAATGTTTTATCTACTGCTGTTCAACCAGTTAAACAATGGGGACAACCAAATCGACCAACAGCTAACAATCCAGATAATGAATCAAATTGTTTCAAGTTGGTTAAAATGATTATGGAACGAAATTTTGCTCCAGTAATTGTATTTTCATTCAGTAAAAAGGATTGTGAAAATTATGCCATGCAAATGTCTAAATTAGATTTCACTTCAGGTGATTATAATAATTGTTTAATAAGTTTATTTACTTTTTTGTAAATTGTTTGCATTATGGACTATCTTGTATGATGCAATTAGAATTCTGTAGTTAAATTCTAAGTATGTATTAAGTTATAAGTATATAGGTAGTACTTTTTTAAAATACATTTTACGAAACAATTACTAAGTTAAAAAAATTGGGTTAGTGGATGTTGCTCTGCTGTACATTTTCTGTCTAGGAGGTTACTATAAAGGATGGTATTAAGTTTGGATTTAATGATTTTATACAAAAAACGATTCTGAGCGGAGACGGTATGCTAGTGTAGAATATTTAATATTGTTTTTACTTCCTATTAATACTGTAGTTGGCAGGTTGAATTAATATTATTCTTAAATTATCAGTGATGCTAGAAAAATATTATATTTACTTATGTAAAATTGTGCTATTTTGGACGGAATTACAACAAAATGATTAGAATTGTCAACTTCAAATGCTCATAAAAAATCTAATTTGACTTTCCGGTTGAATTTTTTTCTTTTTTGATTAAGGTAAAAAAACTTCTAAGGAATCTTATATTAAATTTGAAATCTTAGATATGAAAAGAAAATTTTTTATGAATTTCTAACTTAAAATAATTTGCAAATTGTAGTGATTTTTACGTATTTTGTCGAAATTTCAATTTCGGGTGCTCATTAAAAATTATTGTGGACTTAAGCTCAACATTTTTTTAATTTCCATTAACAACAACTTAATGGAACCTTATATCATATTTTCAAGTTTTTTGACCGAGCTTACATTTCTTTTTAATCAGACATTAATCGAAAAATAACTAATGATTATCGAAATTCTTATATGCCTATAAATAGCTTTACATTGAATGCTGTATAGGAAATGCTAACACAAATATTCAGTGAAAATGTCATGTATATTTTGTCATTTTTTTGTGTTACATTAAGTGTTACACTTGAGTTACACTAAAAACCAAAATTGATTTTTTTGAAAACTGGTTTTGTGGGAAAAATCCGGTTTTTCCTTAAGTTTTTGTTTGTTTTTCTGTCGCTTTTGAAAATTTCTGGGAATTTTAAATTTTGAATTCCCAAATGCACCACTTAGATTCCTACCAGATAAGTTGCTGTTGAAGAAAATCAAAGCATTTTTGCTGCCCCAAATCTTGATACAAAAATAACATGACTTATTTTATTTATGTATCTAAACTCTATTCAGAATAAGAGTATACCACCCGGCTGATGGTGTGTCGGCACATCTCTACTTATAGACTCACACCTACATGTGACCGAGAACAATTACCAACAATTAACTTCCCATGGCTAAGCATCTAGTAATTGCGTAAGTGGTGATTCTAGGTCAAAATATCTAAAAAAAAAAAAAAAATACATGAAATGTAATTTATTTTGTATGAATAGTAAATAGATTACACTTTTCTAATAAAATAACCATTTAGTAAATTAGCTATATCCCTACTACCATCATTGTATCCCTCACAGAGATTTTTTAATTAATTTTTTTTACTACTGTTTTTAATGTATAGTTGTCCAATATTTTGCAATTCATGTAAAAATGTTGGGTTATTTTTAAGTAGCCTAAATCCAATTTAATTGAATTAGTACGTAATACAAGTATCTAATACTTAGCAATAAGTAATAACTTATTACTAATAAGTATGTAATAAAAAACATATATCGTTATGAAACAGTTCTTAAGCTAGATTTCCAATACACTAATTTCTTACAAATATGGATTATTTAAAGTTCTAGGCCCTGAACTTGTTATTATTGCACACATATCATGATTAATTGTATGCACTATGTGCTTTGACTATACTATATTATATTATATTATTATGAACTTATAAATCAATATCTGGGTATATTGTTAGAGTAAAAAATGAGGTATTTTGACCAAGCACTAATAAACTCATGTCTTGTTCTTTTATAGATACTGAAAAGGGGTTAATTGATAAATTATTTGAAAACGCTACAAAAGTATTGTCAGAAGAAGATCGTAAACTACCGGCAGTTATAAATATAATACCATTAATTCGAAGAGGCATTGGTATTCATCATGGAGGTAAATATTATTCGCTTATAAAATATATAATATTAATATTCATAAAATAATTAATGATAACAATCTTATTGTTATATTATGTGTTTTAGGTCTTTTACCAATCTTAAAAGAAACTATAGAAATTTTGTTTGGCGAAGGATTACTAAAAGTGCTATATGCTACT